AATCAAATAAGGTAAATATCAAAACAGAACTCAAAATAAAGGATGTTTCTGAAAAACTAAATTGGTTACTGAGAGATTTTATTTTGGCTTAACATGCTGCATGCTACAGATGTTACATGCTGCAGGCCGCAGGAATATATCATAAGAACTCAGCTGGTTATGACAAAGTCACTACCTGGAGGGATCAGGGATTTCCTCCAGAGGAAGCCAGATTCCAAGGAGTTTTTGGTGTTACTTGGCTTGTTATATATCAGCTGTATTCTGTTATGAAAATCATGTGTGCCTTCATAGTTTTTCCAATTGACTTTCCCCTAAGAAAGACTAATAGTGTAGCCTGATCACTCTCTGCACATACACATTCCAGGTATTTGGAGAACAGCCTCAGGAAAGGCTTTCTCTGGAATCAGATTATCTCCCTTAGCCACTTTCAAGGACTACAGGAAACACCACCCAGATGGGCGCCCAACTTCCGAGGACTAACAATGATAACAGCCCACATGCAAGTCTCCTGACTTATGGTAAATTCCACAAGGAGACACCGCTTAGGAGAGTTGGACATTAAGTAATAGCTTTACACAATTTAACTTGGACCCTCCCTTTATATACCGGGACTTCCAGGGCACAGGTAGGAAAAGAGAAAAGAGAATGGAAGAAGGAGATGGGTAAGAACTTGAGAGGAACATACTGAGATGGGGAAGAACAAGATTGAAGGGCTAAAAGAGAGGACTAGAGGAACGAGATGGAAGATGAGGAAGAGCCAGATGGGGAAGAACAAGATGAGGAAGAGCCAGATGAGAGAGGAGACAGGAGAGGAACTGATAAGGGAAAGAACTAGATAGATGAAAACCTAGAAGGGAGAGAACTAGATGAAGGAATTAAGATAGAACCTAGAGGGGACAGTAGATAAATATAGAGAAATCAGGCAAGAAAGGAGCTAGACATGAGAGCAGAATAGAAGCTGTGTAGAGAGAGAACTATCACAGAATAATAAAGTGTATGAACTAAGGAGTTTCGTGTACATAGATTCATTTCTTTTCATCAAAGATTAATTATCAGCTGGTTGTAGATTCTTCCCGGACCCTGGGAGGGGACTATCAAGGGGCTGGACCCCCTTAGCCCCCGATAGTTACAGGCTAAGTGCCTAAGTGAAAGCAAGTGATGCTGGCAATGCAAGCATAGAACAGCCAGCCCCAACCAAGCTTAAGACCAAAAAAACAAGGTACCATTTTTAGCAGATGTTGGATCTTTCACTGATTCACATCTGAGCAATGCCGTAGACCAAACACTTCAGGACTCATTTAGGGCTAAAACCAAGAAGAATGGGGCTTAGTTCCTGCCACCAGGGAACTTCTGCCTTGTTGGCAGTTTTTGTATCAGAACCATTTAAAAGAGGTTTTAAAAGTGACAGATTCCAATGGAACTGTAGGTTAGCAATAGGAAAGGCTTATCTGTTTGATTTAATAGATTGTGCAGTTGGACCACCAGCTTAAGCATCTCAGAATCTAAGAATAAATATCCCTGTCATTATGATCCTTTAAGTTCAACACGAACTTGAATTACACATTCTCTGGTATCTGAAGGCCTGAGTGGAATTTCCCACAAGCAGTACATTTACATGCTGGATGGACCAATATATTGACTTTAGTCATTTGTAATTCATTTTTACAAGTGATAGAAAGGACCGGTGGATGAAAATGTAAAGGCACTTTTAAAACCAATTTCTTTAAAAAATCCCAGCTTCACTTCTTTCATTGACTTTAAATGGTTGAGCTATGGCCTTTGTATTGTACTTATTTGTAACGATCAGTTAAATTGACAAATAGTAGAAATACTAAATTTAATAGATTGTACTTAATATTTTGCTCTTAAGCTAATGTTCTTCTAAATTAGTTAGGTTTAAATGATAATGTCTTCCTTTACAAAGACCACAAATTCAAAAGCTCCCTGTGCTTGGATTATGAGCATTTAAAGGAAGTGCGGCCAGAGGAAGGAGCCGTGTGTTTGAGAGAGTAATATCTTAATGCATTGTTATTGCTTTATTGATTGGAATTGATTTTTTGCCTGTTCATTTTCATAGGTGCTCCTATTGTGACAGCCATTGTGGAAACCGCAAAATATCTCCATCTGAGAGCTCTTTGTATCCTTCTCTACACATTTTAATAGGAGTCTTAAATCTAACCACATTAAGATGTTTTAAAGCAAACATGAATGGTTTTGGAGAGCTAGTAATAATTCCTTCACCTTGTGTGAATTTATTAAATTTAAATAACTATTCTTCCCCCCTTCTTTCTATTGCTCTCTTTGACACACACACACACACACACACACACACACACACACACACACACACACACACACTGTGGGGATATCTAATATGTACTTTATATGATTTATATATCCTGCTATGGTTAGTTTAACAAATTTGACATTTTTAAGATCACAGTAATGACACTGGACATGAAAACCTCAGTGGCCATCACAGAGGCCAGAGGGCATCTGATGCACAGAGGATCATTTCCAGGCATTATCCTCAGGTGAAAATGAACTAACAAGAAAAGGAAAGAAGCCCTGTTTAGTTTACTGGCAGAGTTAACAATGGTATTTCCATGGTCATTGTTCTTCTTGCTGTCTGAAAACACCAGGGCTTTATCCTTCTGTTGGCACTGTGTTCTGTTTGCAGGGGGGTCATTGTTCTCTACCATGTCCTGTTTTCCCTTAGATGGTCTCTTAGGTTCAACGAGAGTGACTGAGGGTCAGCATTGTTGTCTTTCATAGTTCAGAAAAATTGTGTCGTTCAGGAAAACTAGAACCCAACTTTAACATGCCTACAGCCTTGAAAACAAAATCTTTTCCACCTACATTGGCTACTGTGAATGAAAACTCAGAGCCTTGGGTTTTTTCCTGGAGGACAGCAGTTTTCAAATCTGTGGGAGGTAGAATTATTTGTGGTCAGTTTTCTTCTAGGCATTTGAATTCAATCCTCACCCCTCCTTTTTTTCTAAATACTTAAAAAAATACTTGAGTAAAGGTGCATGGGGACAGCCACTCATGTGCAGAAACTGATGCTAATGAGGTGGAACTTAGAAATGGTGTGTGAGCACAGGATGGTCCCTTCACTCCCAGTTACATACCTGTCTTCTTCTATTGCTCCACAAAATCACATTAGCCATTACAGCACAAGTCATGGTGTAGTAGTGTACATCTTAACTGTACTGAAAACTGTAAACAATGTAGAATTGTTCTCTTTGCTTGGGCCTGAGAACCCACTGCTGGAAGACCTTTTCATCAGCAGGCATCCCATAGTGCTATCACACTGTGCTCCAGGTCTGTGACTTCCTTGCTCTCCTAGTTGGCTTTCGGTTGCTGTGATAAAACACTGATCAAAGCCAACTCTGGGAAGGGAAGGGTTTATTTCATCATCCACTTCCTAGGTCACAGGCCATCACTGAGGGATGCCAGGGCATGAACTCAAGGCAAGAAACTGGAGTAAGAAATTGAGGCAGAGGTCATAAAAGAACACTGCTTACTGGCTGACTCTCCATGACTTGCTCAGCCTGCTTTCTTATACAACCCACCTGTCCAGTCATGGTACTGTCTACAGTGATCTAGGACCTCCCACACCAATGATTAATCAAGAAAATGCTCCACAAGCTTGTCTACAGTCCACTCTGGTTGAGGGGTATTTTCCTGAATTGAGCTTCTTTTTTTTCCCAATATGATTCTAGCCTGTGTCCAGTTGACAAAATCTAAGCAGTAAGCCTGCCTTCCTTGAAGAACCCCACCACAGCACATGTTAGAGTCCAATAGTACATTTCTGAAATCCGATATAAGCACTCAGTGCATACCATGCCTCTCCAGGGTCCTGCAGAAAAGTCTAAAGGGGATAGTGACTTCCAAATTCAGATCCATAGAGCCTCTTCACATCAGTCAACAGTCTAGATACATCTTTTATGTGTTTAAATTTCCGGTAGATACCTTTTGGTCTTAACTCACATTTTTTTTTCTAAAGACTAGTACTAAGTTTCAGACATTTCAATCTAAATTCTTAAAGAGAAATACACCTTCAGATGTGTGTTATCTTACTTTCCCTACAGTCTACAAGTTACTTTTTCATTATAAAAGTGATTCCTTTCTTTTCTGCAACCCAACTCCTGAAGTCCACCTTTTCACAGCAAAACAACAACAAATGAAAAATTGCAAACTACACTCGATGTCTTCTCCTCTGACATTGTAGACTCAGATGGCTTTGAAATGGTGTTAGATGCTGGTCATTTCCTTTACTGAGCAAATAAATAGTTACAGCTTTGTAACTGGATGGCTGTTCAGTGCCTAGTGCAAATTATCACATTAGGGCCCACCCCCACCCCATTAGCTCTGTGATGTTAAGGACATCACAGATTTTACAGATTGGGAATCTCAAGCTTAGGGGACTGAACTTTGCCAGAGGTTTTCAGGTAGAAAGTCCTGATGCTCATGCTGAGCACAGTAACTACTACGCTCTGCAGATCTTCCTCATCAAGACACTTTTCTTTTCATTGCACAGTGGCCTTGTGCTTCCATAACCCACCCCTAGACACTGCCAATGATTCCATGGCTTTGTCTCTGAGGGTCCTTTCTGCTTCTACTCTTCCTGCCTTCATCTAGGTCAATGACGTTACGTAAGACTGTACAAGTTAGAATAGTGCCTTTGAATATATTTGAGCAAGCTTATTCTGAATGAGGAACATAAACAACACAAGAAAAAAATTCAAAATGATCCCATGCTATGGTATGGAGTTTAAGGCTTGGCAAAATTTTAATCAGCTGCTCTGCAATGACAGCATAATTCTCCTGCCTCTGAGTTGGTAAAGTCGTTCATTAAACATGGTGGATAAACAACTCCAGCCTTGCCTGGGCTTGATCTGATAACCTCTTTCCCCCTGGTGTTTGCATCCATCTCTGTTATCTGCTTAGTGTCGTTCTGTGACATCACACTGGTGTGCATGCCATGTCCTTTCCCCAGCAACTCCCACAAGGCCTCCCTCTGTTTTTCTTGCAGGAAGTACTCAAGACCAATCATTGAAGGTAGGCCTGTCACTCATTCTGTGCTCATCCGCATGGCTGCTTCTCACTTTCGCTCCCCTGGAAGATTTCATCTTCTTCCACTGCCCACTGAATGTTTCCTACACCGGAAAATGGCATCTCTTACCGCCGCCGCCGCCGCCGCCGCCTAGTGCTCTGATGCTCTGAGTTGGTGCTTAGAATAATCCTAAAGATAATGTTGACTTTTCCTTGAAAGGGGTTGTTTCTCCTAATGTTCAAAAAACCTGTTACTTCCTTCTGTTTCCTGCATTACACCATCAGGGCGAGCAGACATTTACAGAGGCCTGGGACATGATGGTTTTCCCCATGATCATGTCCCCACTTGGTGAACTGATTTTCAAGCAAGGCTGTTTGCCACTTCTGAAACTATGATAGAGATTAAGTTTAAATGACACAGCTGAATAAAATTGAACATTTATCAAATTGGTAATAGTGTAGCCAGTGCATTATAAGTATACAAGACACAGAAATGATGAGATAAATAATTTGGCTACAAACCAGGTGGTATTTTTACACATCTTTAATCCCAGTACTTGAGAGACAGAGGCTGGTGAATCTCTATGAGTTTGAGGCCAAGCCTGGTCCAAAGAGCAAGATCCAGGATACACTTCACAGTGAAACTTTGTCTAAAAGTTTCTCTAAAAAAACCAAATACTACTACTACTACTACTACTAATAATAATAATAATAATAATAATTTGGCTACATAAAAACTTAGAGTGTCCTTTAAACAATAGTAATAACAAAACAATCCCAAACAAAATAATAAGAAGTGCAAAACTGATATAAACACATGCTGACAGGTTCTGATAGATTAATGAATAAGACATAAATTTACTAGGAGGTAACAAAGAACAAGAAACAAAGGACCCAAAGAAACCCTAATAGGTGCTAGTGTGTGGAAAGTGCTGACATCCTGACTAAAATAACTCCATGCACCCCATGTGCACCTCTGAGAGCAGAGGGCCACATGTGTGCACATTCTGCAGGTGCCAATGATGCTGGAACATTGCCTCTGCTTGACATTTTGGAGATGCTGTTTCCCAAATCCTAAAGATGCTCCTACATGTCAGTCCAGCAGTTCCCATCCTAACCAAGCACTCTAAGAAATTATGCAATATAACCATTCATAACAATATAACAATAGCGTGGCAATTCCCAAAGTTCCACATGGAAAAATAGAAATAGGAGACTTGATCCTAATAGCAAAAGTTGGAGAGTGATAGATTTTCAAATTTAAAAATATTATATATTTATATAAATGTAAGAGTAATAAAAGTAGCTGTCTATGTATGTATTAAAGAAAGACTCATCTGACATAATTAAAAGTTAATGCTTTAGAGCACTAAGAACCCAATGGCTCAGGGAGAGTGCTGACTGGTTGTTTAAGTGAGGAAAGGCATTCTCAATCCATTCATGTGGTGTGAGGGTAACAGCAGCATTGCCATGTGTAGAACTGTCCATAGAAAAGGACATATTGATGTAAGTCAACATGTTGTCAGTATTTGGACTAGAAGTTACTTTTATTTATTTATTTTTTTAATTGTGCTTTGGTCATCAGGGGCTGTGCATCACTTGGTAAAAGACCAATACGTTTTTAAAATAAAAAAAAAAATAAGGATCATGTTTCTCTTCTGCTCTAGATCTTTGCATTCCCATGGCCATAGATCTACTTTGTTTCCAGTAAGTGAAAGGCTACCTCTCACTCAGAACTCAGAGAAAGGATTAAAGGCAGCCAGCCACTACCTTTTCTTTTTATACTGGCCACAGAATCTAGACTTAATGTCTTAAAGTGTTGCTGTCAGAGACATTTATTTAACCTTTAACCTCACCCCACTGAGACCTCCCTGCTCACATCAGGTAAGACCTGACCCTCAGAACCCCACTCAGGGAAAACTTGTTGTTGTTTTTACACAAGATTGCATTGAAAGAGTCTTGGCTGACTCTTTTAGGCTTGGAAATTGCCAAAAGCAACTTTAATTTGGACTATTTAGGGAGACCAATTTTCTCCCTCCTCTGGCTTAAAAAGATTTTATTATGAAAGTAATATTATTCAAAGAGTGGATAAAGAATTTGTCAAATTTCTCCTAGCTTGAGTAATAAACATGACCTTTTTAGACTGCCCACAATTTCTTGGTCCTTCATTTCCTTGAGGCATTTGAGCAAGAAGAGGGCAGCTGCAGACAGGGTCTTTCTGGCCTCCTGATGATAGTAGAAGTCTTGGTGCCCATTTTTAGACAGCTGCTATCTGGCAGCCATCCATGAAGATATCCCTAAATACTTCTAGAAGACTCGAGGGCGGCAGAAATGGCTTTTACTTTTAAATAATATGTGGCAAATGTTTGATACTTAGCTCACAGAAGGGGAGACTATTGTCACTGGGCGAAGACTTCAGCTATGTGCAGGGAAAATAATATGAAGGATTTCTAGCCCTCAGGTTCTCAGAAAGTACTCTGAAGTCTTCTGTATAATTTGCAGGTCTGTATGGGAACAAAGACAACATTCCAAGATACAAAGGAATAACAAGGACCATCCTAAGAGCCACAAGTTCTGACTCCCACTCATTATTATGGGATTTCTAGACAGCCTGTGTTGACTACTCAAGGGAGGCCTTACCCTCTATGATGAGGGGATGGGGGTGGGATGGGGATACATGGCAGGGGGAGCAGGAGAAGAGGGGGGGGACAGAGGTTGGTATGTAAAAGGAAAGAAATTTTTTTAATAAAAAATTATATAAAAATTACAGAAAAGTTCTCATATATGCTCAAGTATACAACCCTCTCCATTGTGATATTATGTTCATATATCTTTCCTCTCTAGTTCTAGCTCTGTATGGCTGCTTTTTCCTTGCTCCCACTCAAAGCTTGAGTGGTAAAAATTATTGCCACTGCTTACAATGTCTTAGCCTCTCCTGTTTCTTTGAGGAATTTTAGCAAGCACTTTTATATGCTTAATAAAACTGTACCTTACCAATTAACAAAAATTTAGTATGATCTTTATAAAAGTTAATTATTATAGCCCAAATAAACTCTTGAATCCTGTGAGACCACTCTTGGAATAGTATTGCACTTAAAAAATTTAGTCCAACTACAACATAGTTAAAAACCAGTTTAGCTGTTTGGGGGGCACCCAGGCAGGGAGATGGGGATCCATCCCTGGCTCATGGGCAGGCTTTTGGGAGCCTGGTGCCTGCCTGCGGTGTGACACCTTGCACAGCCTTGGTGCAGCTGGAAGGGCTTGGGAGGGAGGGCTGAAGGGTAGGAGGAGGGAGGAGGTGGGATCTGTGGGTGGTATGTAGAATGAGTAGAAAAATTCTTAATAAAGAAAAAAATAGTTCAGATTTTTGTTGGAATTACTAGAGATGTGCAACTGGATTTACTCTGACGTCCACAGGCACTTTCTGTTTTTTTAATTGGGTAAGAATTTTTCTTTTGCGTGTTTGTTTTCTATTGTCTTTCTTCTGAAATAATCTCAAACAAGAGCATTTTTTTTTTTTGTCACAGAATAACTTCTGTAGCCCCCTGACCAAGATTCCTCAGCCATTAACCTTTTTCATGCTTACATTGCCACTAATATATGTACTGGTTGTTGAGTGTTCTTCTAGAAGCTTTTGAAAAACAAGCCAGGTGGTGGTGGTGGCGGCGGCGGCGGCGGCGGCGGCGGCGGCGGCGGCACACGCCTTTAATCCCAGCACTCGGGAGGCAGAG